AAGCTGCCAACCTCTCAAGTCCAGCTGATTAAGGCCTACACACCAGTAGAAAGATGAGCAAAGAGAAAAATAAGGAATAGAGAGAAAAGTTAGGCAAGCAAAAGGAAAAAAGAGAATTCAAATACAAACACTCTCTTTTGGATTGCTAAGTCCCATTCCTAAATCAGTCTTTAAATTAAATTTGCACAAAGTCAGTTAGGTATGGCTTATATCTAACGTGACTTAAGTCAAATGTTTGTCTTGTTGTCAAGTTGGAACCAACTCATAGCTGACCCTCAGTGGGTTTTCAGAGGCTGTAAATCGCATGTTCTCCATGTCTCATGGAGTAGCTGGTGGGATTGAACTGCATGCCTTTGGATTGGCAGCATAACACTTTATCACTAGGCCACCAGAGATAGTATACCATACATAGTGTACCTTCCTATGCATAAAGAATATTAAAGTGACACTTCTAGATTCACTAAAACACACAATTACTGATATTCAATTTTTATATCATTACTCTTGATCAATGCCCTTTATCATACTGTTTCATCATATCCCCATTGCACATGTTCCCTTCACACCCCTAATCAGCCCACTAAACTCTCTGGGCTTGTGTGTTTCCTCCTTCCCCTTTTTCTGTCCTATTTTCCATCTATCCTTTCCCCTTTTGAACAGTTATACATACCCTGTTCCTATTTGCTAATTCCAGTAGCCATATTTTCATTCTGTCACTTCTTCCCAGATTGATCCTTGTCTTGATCCTTTACCCTGTTCATTGTACATTCTACTTCTGCTCTTCCCATCACCTCTATTCCCCAGCTACCTAGTTTTACAGTAGCCATCTTACGGAGTATTTGCCTTGTGACTCAGTTGTTAATTCAGCATACTGTCCTCCAGACTTGTCCGTGTTGTGTAATATTTTCTAATTTGTTCGTTGTTCTTTAATGCTGCACAGTATTTCATTGTATGACTGTACCACAATTTCTGTGCCCATTTGTTGATGTGCATTTATTTGCAGTTTCCACCTCCTTGTTATTGTCAAAAATTCTGCTATGAATAAATGTACCATGTCTCAGTTCTGATTTTCTTGGGATATATTCACAAAAGTAGACTAGGAGTCAAAAAGAATGTTCAGCTTTTTGATGAAATGTCAAACTGTCTTCCATAGTTATTATACCATTTTACAAGCCCACCAGCAGTGCATGGAAAGTTCTAATCTCTCCACATTCTCACTAACATTTATTGTTTGCAAAAGTTTATTGTTAAACTTTGCTATTGCTGCTGGGGTGAGATAGTACCTCCTTGTTGTTTTGATTTGTATCTCTCTGCTAGTGATTTGTAACACTTCCTCAGGTGTTTTTTGGTCAAATATCCTCCTTGGTGAAGAATCTTTAATGTTTTGTTCATTTTGTAAATGAGTCCTCAATCTTTTTCATGTAGAGGCACTACAGCATTCTGTAAATTTTAGTTGAGTCCTTTATCTGAAATGTCATTAGCAAATATAATTTTTTTATTAATGGCAAATGCTTCATAAATTCACACTGCTACAGCATATCAATAAAGAACTATTAGGTTTTGATCCTTATCCCTATGTAAATGATTATATTCTATTTACATTTTAACATATTTTTCTTTAAATCCATAAAATAGTAAATAAGCAATTAGAATTTTTTCTAGACATTTGAAAGAGCAATTGTATGCTGTTGAATTTTATCAAATAAGAAATGGTGCTTAGCTTTTATTTTTTTATGCTTTTTTAAATGACATTTTTTCTAATTTTTGTTGTATTTTATAAAAATTATCAGTTCATGTAAGATTTGAAGTTGTTAAAATTATATTTCACCTCATAGTTTGAGATAGGATATAACTTTAATAAAGCAGTGTATCTACTGCTATTGCTATAGAATTGATTCCAAATCATTAGTGATCTTCCCTCAGATTTCCAAGGTTTGAATGTTTACAGAAACACTGTTTCTCTTTCTGTAACCACTGGTGGATTCAACAGGCCAACCTTTTGGTTAGCATGACAAAAACTAAAGCTTTGCACTGTATCCCCTTACAGACATGGTGAAAGGGACTTGGTAGTGTAACTTGTAACGTGTCAGGCCACTAACTGAAAGAACTGCAGACTATTAACAGTCCATGTGCATTTCAGCCTCCATGACCCTGACACCAGAGCAACTAGATGGTGTCAGGCTGTCACTGCTGACCATTCTCAAAGGGATCACAAAAGAAGGTCCCTGATAGAGTGGAAAAAATAGGAGAAAAACTCAAAATCAAAGAAAGGCTGGGTTTGCTGATCTAACAGAGATGGTTGGTGTTGTTATGTACCATTGAGTTGAAAAATATCATTGAGCTGACCCACTCTAGGTGTTCAGAGGCAATAATGGCAAGGGAGGGAAAATGTCCACCTTTCTCCCATGGAGTAGCTGGCCTATTCAAACCATATGCCTTCGGCTTGGCAGAGCAGTTCCTAACCACTAGACCACTAGAACTCAACAGTGACTGGTAGAACCACTAACACTATGGCCCTTAGTCACCCTTCAAGCCAGAAATTGAAATCACTCTGGTGGCTCAATTTTCAGGAAAATAAGAGACAGGCCTTTAAGCTAACCAACACCACCAAAGAGGTACACACTCCTCAAAAAAAAAAAAAAAAAGCCAAAAAAGCCTTTTTTCCTTTCAAACAGAGTTGCTGAGCTCTGTAATCCACATTTATGCCTTTGAACAGGCATAGAAAACAGGTTATGTGGAGCAAGACATTAAGATGCAGACAATCACAATGAGGATATCCATCAAACAAGCTGCTTTACACTCCTCTTTCCCTTAGAAACCCAGCAGCATAAATCAGTGGGGAATAGCAGGTGGTCCATCTGCTTGGAGGATGACGTGGAAGGGCATATCATATATGCATTTGACAATGGTTCCATTATCCACAATAATCTGACTTCCTCCCTGTTTCACTGTTATCATTCTTGCCAAGATTAGCTATACTTGTTCAATTCCTTTAGTTTTTTGGGGTTTTTCAGTGTACTTGACATCTCTTAGCAGTGTGGAACACTACTGATGACTCCATCTTTGAAGCATTCTTTCATGTTCTCTGTTTTTCCAACAGTCCTCTTGTTTCCTCTGGTCCACCAATTATTAAGCTGTGGTTGACTCAAACACCAAAGGTCTTCTAACTTCCTTAGTTTTTATTATTATCTAAGTGATACCAGTTACCGATCTCTGAGTTAATCCAGCATCCAGTGTTTACTTTCAGCTCCCCAGCAGGTGTGGTGATTTGAAAGTATGTGATCAAATGCTTCGGTACCTCCCCCTTGAGGTGGAGTTTCCTCCTCATGTGGGCTGGAGAGAGCTCATTTCCAATGACAGGGTGTGACAATAAAGTCTCCTCTTTACTCCTGTGGGTCCTTTGCTTGAGGAGAAGCCAGCTGCCGTGTCACAAGGACACTTTAGCAAACCAGAGAAGACCACATGGTAAGAAACTAAAGTCTTTTCCAACAGGCACAGGAGTGAGCCCTCTAGACCCGGTTAATTAAAATGCTCCCAAAATTCCTGTTCTATAAAAATGGAAATAAATATTGAGTAAGAGTGCTAAGCTTCGAGATGACCTTTTATACAACGTTGGTGATAGGTGCTGTCCGGTCAACTACAACTTTTAACAAGCACCATCATCATCATCATGATCTCCACCACGCTCTTGCCCAGTGCCGCAGCCAATGTGTCGATCCACCTTGTCGAGGGTCTTCCTCTCTTTTGCTGACCCTCCTCTACCTTTCCCAGCATGATATCTTTTTCTAAGGATTGGCCACTCCTAATAAGCCAAAGTATGTGAAATGAAGTTTCACCATCCTGGCCCTAACGAGCAGCCTTGGTGTACTTCTTCCAAAACAGATTTGTTCGTTCTTTTAGTAGGCTGTATTATATTCAATACTCTGTCAAAAGCACAATTTAAAGGCATTAGTTCTTTTGTCTTCCTTATTCACTGTCCAACAGCAAAGCCAATAGTCAAATCAGGCAGTTGTTCTCACAAACACTATATACTCTGATCACACTTAAAAACATCAAAATAGGTAGAAGTTCTTTAGTTCATCAGTAAGATTGAATAAATATTCCACTTCTTGGTCAGTATTACCTTCCATGGTGTCACACGAAGGACAAAGTGGTTAGTATACAGAGATGATGCCCAAGTAGTGGAATTCCAGTGATTGTCTGAAGGTGGCTTTATAGTATGTACTGATCATGCCCAGGTCTACAGTCAATGCTTTACAGTTGTTAACAATAATAAACACAACTTCCATTATATTTACTTCATTTTAAAACAACATTTTAAAAGAAAAACACACATTAATCCAAATTACACCTGGGAGAATTTTATTAACTTAATGGACTTTCATTTTGTCTGCCAAGTCTGTGGTAAAAATGCCTTTACTTGATACAATCTACAGATGCTTCTTAACAGTACTGTGGAATCACCAAGACTTGCAGTTAACAATGTTTCGTAGTGATTAAAACAATGTTCAAATAATTAACAAGTTATTTAACTGAAATACTTAAAAGGGTCCTGGGGAGTGTTTGAATACCTTTATAAATAATGAAATTACATTTTGCTTTAATTTGGTGATGAAGATAACCACTTCTTATATAAAACATTGTTTTGATACAGTGCTTTACTAAAAAGGCTAGTTATTAGATATAATATATTCTAAGACTAAAGAATAAAGCTTTATCTTCATATTTATTTCATTCATAGGACTCTCATCAATGAAGAACTCTGTAGCCAACATTAATACACAAGCATATCACAACTGGTATTCTGTAGAAGCAAAAAGAAGGCTGCAACAAAAGAAACTATTTAACTGCATCATACAGCTTATTCTGAGCAGCAGAATTCAATGCAGATGTTTGTATGGCTAGATGGAAACTACAACCTCCACACTAACAGAAAAAGGAACAATAATACAGAACACAGTATTCCAATGCTTCTAGACGCCATCCGCTGTGTTGTCAGATCAGAGTGGCAACTGGAATTTCACGTCCACCTGCGCTTGTTTGGCTAGGGTCACTATTTCAGAGAGCTTTACAACCTGGAAATAAAACACAAAACACCTTTGTCTCTATTTTAACCAAAGTGTAAAATCAGAACAATTGGTAAAATTACATATAGAGAAATCTTTTTCATTTAAAGCATATGTTACCCTAAGCAAAGAGATAGAAACAATCCAAGTGTCCACCAATAGATGAATGGCTAAAGAAACCATGGTACATTCCCACAATGGAGTATTATGCAACACTAATGAATGATGAAGACTTAGTTAAATAAACACTGGGCAGCAGGAATGACTCTAGAGGAAATTATGTTGAGGGACATAAATCAGTCAAAAAGAACCATTATGGTACAAGGTCATTACTATAAAAAGCCAAGGAAACTTTTGCACAAAGAGAATCAATCTTAGAAGGCTAAAAGGGATGAGAAAGGAGGAAAAGAGGAGTAAAAGGAAACAAATTAGGCTGGGGGAAGGGAAAGACAGTATACAATAAGGGGTTGATAAAATAATTAATCAATTCTAATTCATGTTATAAAAATTCATGTGAGTGATTAAGTGTAAAAACAAGATGATTTGTAAATCTGCACTCAAATAAACCTTTAATTGCTATAAATTACATCAGAGTCTTATAAGCAAATGCATTGTAAGAATGGTCAGATTTGACACTCCAGAATTTTTATTTCAACCCAATGTTTTATTTTGTAGGTGATAATAAATATATACACATACACACGTATACACACATATATATGTTGATTTAAGTTGCCTTCAAATGACTCACAGCAACTTCAAGTATGCAAAGTAAAAGTGTTCCAGTTGTCAATGGCTGTGACATTTCAGAGCAGATTACCAGGCCTGTTTTCCATGGCACTTTGTGGGTGAGTCTGAACGTCTAACTTTCAGCTAGTACTCGGGCAGTTAACCATTTATGCCACTCTCTTCTCCCTTCTCTCTCTTCACCACTCTTCTTTTCCTTTCTAGTTAAATTTCACTGTCTAGTTAAATTCACTAGTTGAGAATCACTGTAAGTCATAGTCGACTTGCTAGCACCAAACCACAAAGACAGAAATAGTGAGTGTATTTTGCTAGAAAGCTCACAAAACTAAACTACAAGTTTGGGTCTAAGACTAAAATGTTTGCTACTGCACACACATTCACAGATACACCTGAAAATAAAAAATCAGAGCTTGTTCATTTTTTTAATGAGAGCAAACTCATTATTATGAAAACCAGAAAATTTAAAAAAGCAAGTCACTATGGTACAATTCTTATGCAAAATTTACATTATGGCAGCAAAATAGTTGACTCAGAAATTTTCACTTTCTAGAAGGATTCCGTAGAAGTGAAGAATGACAGAATTTGCATACCAACTACTTTGCAAGCATAAACGAAATTAATAGACGTATTCCGTATTTGTCAATCATTGCTAATATCATGAGACAAAAACTTGAAATTGTATACCTCCTTATGAAATTACATAATAAAAACTATCTAAAATATTAATGCTCCTTGAGCCCCAAAATCAAATATAAATTCCAATGGATAATACAGGGAACAGAAGAACATGCAAAGCTCACAGAGTTAGTTACTATTGTTAAAATCCAAACCATGGGAAATTCTACAGGACAAATACCCTGGATTTTTCCAACAAACTGCAGGAAAAAATAAAAAGCAATCGGGAAGCTAAAGATATATGGACAAAAATACCAAATGCAATATATAGACTTACTCTGGCCTTAATGCAAACAATCTGGACAAAGCATACTTGAGAGAATCAGGAAATTTCAATCCTGACTTAATTCTTTTTAAACACATTGTTGCACCCTTTTAAATTGACGACTGTCCTTAGAAACACATTTTTCGATGTATTATCGTCATTTGAGGCAACATGTTAAAATATATACCCATACTACCTGACTTGATTCTTTTTAAAATATATACCCATATCACTTTCTCACCCAAAAACCAAATTCTATTACATAATTATCAATATATTTTATAGAATGTATAAAATAATAAAACAGTTGAGATTTGCTTCAAAATTATCATGGGCCAGAAAAAAAGTTAAGAATACAAATGAAATAAGACAAGAATTAATCATTATTTAAAAAGGAAAATAGGTACAGAGAGTTCATTTTACTAATAATCTTCAGATGCAGCAATAATTATTGGCAGCAGTAGTTCACATAACAATGTGTTTACATAGTATGCAAATTAGTCTTCAGATTATTTACCATTTTAGCAGCTTCATCCAAATCATCACAAGCAAGGATTTTTAGTCCACTATCTGCTATTAGTGCCTTCGCATCATCAACTCGTGTACCTGAAAATGGTTGATACAAACAGAAATCTTTTAAATATATACACAAGCATTTAAAGAACTGGCCTGCCCAAAAGTATGTCCATCACTTCACAGAAATGCATCTAAGCCAATGCAATGGCTTTGTATGATGACTTCATAAAATACACTGTATTCTAACAGAATATATTCTATATATCTTGTCATTGTTACCAATATATTAATTTATATTTTCCATGACAAACACAGGCAAGTCAGAGTTTAAGACAAACCATAAGAAATAAAGGAAGGATCAAGTAAAACAATGAACATTTTCCACCAACTGATGACAATGTTAAAAATCACATGATTTTTATTTTCCATTTTGTAAATGTTGCTGTTGTTATGTGCCATCGAGTCACTTGCAACTCATAGTGACCCTACGTACAACAGCCCTAAACCTTGCTCTATCCTGTGCCAATCGCCCATCTCCGACACACCCATCACTGAATCAATCCACCTCACAGAGGACCTTCCCCTCCTGCACTGTCCCTCCACCCTCCCAAGCATGATGTCCCTCTCCAAGGAACAGTCCCTCCTTACCACATGTCCAAAGTATGTTAGATGAAGCCCCAGAATCCTTGCCTCCAAGGAGCAGCC